CGCACACACAGAACACAGAATGAACAAGCGTACACATCACACAGGACATGTACCATATTCAAAGTGCATGTGCCACACATAGGACACAAACTACATACAATAAGATCTTATGTGTACATATGTGTGTATGTGTACTACACACAGGACACAGTGCACATCGGCCACACTGCACAAAAGGAAACATTGAGCACACAGGAAGAACTGCACACACAGGACATACTGTATAGCACACACAAAACACACTGCACACACAGGACAAACCACACACGTAGGACCCAGTGCACACGTAGGACCCAGTGCACACGGAGGACACAGTGCACACGGAGGACACAGTGCACACGGAGGACACAGTGCACACGGAGGACACAGTGCACACGGAGGACCCAGTGCACACGGAGGACCCAGTGCACACGGAGGACACAGTGCACACGGAGGACACAGTGCACACGGAGGACACAGTGCACACGGAGGACACAGTGCACACGGAGGACACAGTGCACACAGAGGACCCAGAGCACACGGAGGATACATTGTACACGTGGGGCACGTGCACACATAGGCCACACAGAGCACAGTGCACACACAGGACACAGTGCACACGTTGGACACAGTGCACACGTAGGACACAGTGCACACGTAGGACACATTGTACATGTAGGGCACACTGCACACATAGGCCACACAGAACACAGTGCACACAGAGAACAGACTGCATGGTACACACAGGGCACCCTGCAGACAGGAGATGTACTGTATACCCACCACATACCACAGAGAGGATACACACTAATACAGAGCACATGTTACATATGGATCACAAACCATGTGCAGGTAGTACAGCCTCTCAACCCAGAGACAGAGGATTGAAAAGGGAGCACCCTACTCAGCAAATAAAGGCCGAAGAGAAGGGGGGATGAGGAAAGATGCATGGTAATCTTTATTATTAAAATTATAGATACCTTTATTATAAATGTATCTTTTAACATGCGTATAAACTAAGTGTTGCTTGTAAAAAAATAACCTAGAAATGACAGAAGAATAAGGGAAAAAAACAAAGATCATTTTGAACACTGCCAGGAACAGATAATTCTTGGAAAGTCAAATGCATCTCTCTAGTCTCGATGCATGGATACACACTGACAGACATGGAAACCCTCCCCTTTATACAGATCTCAAAGACCATCCTAACAGTAGTATATGCTCCTCTTGTGTGAATGTCGAATCCCATGGCAGATGCCTTCCCGTGTCTTTGGAAACATGGATTTCAGGAGCCCTTATCATTCCTTTGGAGATCTAAGCTGTCTATTGTTAAAACATCCAGGTTTGTCTTTGGACATAGAACAAACTCTGGGCTGTAAGTGTCCTCATCTGTCAATTGGAAGGACCTGCCTTAACTCAGGTGACTGTTGTGGCCTTTAATTAATATTTAGGCCTTGCAGTTTGCAGTGAAGGATTGCTACCTAACTCAAATGCCTTGTGAAACTGAGCTTAATTATTATAATTTGCTCATTTGGGGTAATTATCACTCTGTGAATAACTTATCTGGGGTCTGAAGATGAGCCAAGGATTGTCAGTCTCCAGGGGGCTGCTGTAATCAGTCACTGCTGCTGGCCAATCACGTGGGCCAGACGGGAGGGGAGACACACGTGGAGAAGGAAGGACTAAGGGAGCCTCAGTCAGCTCCTTGTTTTCCTTTATCTTCCTGATTCTAATCTAGTACAAATAGATAGTTCACCAAGATTTTCATCCAGGCCTTTCAGAGGACAAAGTGAGAATGTTTCATTGAGAGTTTCTGTAACAGACAGAGCACCTGTCTCGGGTTCTTGGGACAATTCCAGACGTGATTAATTAGGCCCTCAACATTGCAGAGTAGGAGGAAGAGGTGGCCTAGAGCGTGTAACAGATGAACTACACACACACAGGCTGTGGTTTGGAGAGATGTCTGTAACATCTGTGTGGAGAGGGATCATGATCCCCATTCCATCCTCCAGTGCTGGGACACATGCTTTGACAGGTCTGTTTTGGTCTATGGAACAGTTACATCAAAGGCAAAGACCAGAGTGTTTGTTGTGGGTTCAGTCTTGGGAAGTCCAGGTCATGGGGTCATGGTGCATGAAGGAGTGAGGCCTTCTGCTCTGGTTCTTCATGGGAATTCTCAAGGCTTGTTGCTGTTTTCTAGAACATTCAGCATCTGGCTGTAGAAGTATCAGAAATACCAGAGCCCTGAAGATGAGGCCATGATAGCCATAGGGCCTCTTCTTAACAACCTTGCCACCTGTGGTCTAGCTTCTATGGACCTCCCCTTTCTATGTGGTGGGAGGGGCAATGAGCTGGTGTAGGAAGGGTCAGTTCATTCCTGAGTCAATTCCTAGTTCTGAGCTTGTCTAGGGACACAATTTAAATCTACGTGCATCAAGGCCACTGATGGTTGACTGATCCAGCCGTGGGTTGGGACCCAGGGCCCAGGGAAAGAAGGCATAGGCAAGAATGTGTCTCCTAGTTTCCTCTGTGTCCGCTAAGGGTTTCTTCTGTAGCTGTGATTGCCCACTGAATTTGCTCTCAGACTTTGGGAAAATCAGGATCATTCCAAGCCTTCACATAATGCTCGGCCCTCTGCCTCCATAGCACAGGTTTAACTGGTAATGAGCAAATCAAAGTGCTTCTGCAGATTTTAGACTGAGCTAGCACAGTACAGTCTTACACCCTACCCTCTGGGTATGTGTGTGTGTGGGTATGTACATATGTGCACATGGGTACACGTATGTGCATGTGAAGGTCAGAAGTTGGCATTGGATGTCATCCTCCATTGCTCTTCCCCTTAATTTTTGGACAGCATCTCTCACTGAACCCAGAGCTCACCGATAGGCTAGAGCTGGCCAGAGACCATCAGAAGCCCACCTGTCTCCACTCCACTCCCCTAAGCCTGGGGTTACAGGTATGTGAGACCATGCCTGGCTCTTCTGTGCAGGTCCTCACGCCTGCAAGGCAAACTCTTCATCAACTGAACTCTTTCCCAGCCTCCTCCTCAGATCCTGAAACACTGACTTCTAGCTCATGCCGAGCTTTGACTAAAGACACTAGCTTGTCTTCATTTTACCTGATTACATTAGGTTGAGATGGTCAATGCTTCAAATTTCCTTTATCCCTGGGAATGGTGGACTAATAGAAAAAATTTAAATGTTGTATAAATTTCTCCCCTCATTTCCTAGAACTGACATCTTCAGTGTGGGAATGTACGTTTTTAGGACTTAGACAACCCATTGGAGGGGTTCAGCCAGATCATTCTAGAATGTTCATCTATATATTTTAAAATTAAACCTTGTTAGGGGATGTAGTCCATCATGGTGGCACGGTCTGGCTCACGGTGCGCAGGGAAAGGGGCAGTGATGTGTGTTTGAAGATCCCAGAAGAACAAAGTGGTGAAACAGGAGACATTCAGAGACTGGAATGGGGTGGGGCAGGCAGTACCCCATACAGATAGCAGGTTAGTGGAAAGAAGAAAGGAAATAAGGGTTTATATTGACACAACCTGACATCCAGACCTGATAGGAGACAGAACGTGGCTGTGGCTGTGGCTGCTTAGCATGGCGACCCTGAGATGCTGAGTGGGGACTGGGTGGCTTCCTTGGATGGGTTGGGTGAATGGGACCCACTGCTCCCTAACGCTCTTACTGCCCTGGAGAGATCTGCTGAACTCAACATAAATGGAGGTCAGACGTTCTTAGGGTCACAGGAGCTCAGGCCTCCAGTTCTCATGTAGGGAGCTGGGAAAGCTTTTGTAGTAGAAAGAGGGCTGTGGTCCCCTCCCCCAGACCTCAACCCTCCACATGCCCCCACAACCTGTGATCTTGGCCTTCTTCCTCAGTCTAGCGTGCTGTGTGTGAGTTGAAGGGAGGGGTCTGGGCTGCCCTGGTATCCCAGTACTTACTGGGTCAAAGCTCATTTAGCCCCTGTCCCAGGTAAGGGTCCTTCTTGCAGCCTTGACATCTGGGGACACAGAGAAGGAAAGCTGGGGCCCTAGGTCTGCTCTAACTGGTGTGTGGCTTTGCCCAAGTCACCCCCCTTCTCCAGGCTTCAGTTTTGTCATCTGTGAAACGAGGTTAATGGCAGGTTTTGGCTTGTTTGTTGTTTTCAGTCTCAGGTGGCTGGGAGGATGAGATAGATCTGTACCGTGCCTGGTGTTTAGTGAATGACATCAGCTCTAGGGACAGCAGTGATGACATCACATCACACAGGATCAGCATTAGGATGTAGCCACCTTCTGGCACTCGAGGTGTTATCTGATTGGCCAGAAGAACCCATTCCAGCATGGGATATGTGCAGGAATGTCCTGTGTTCAGAGGACAATGTGTAGTGGGAGAGGGTTCTGGGCTCTACTGAACCCTCATCATATATCATATATCAGCTGAATATTAAATTGCAGCGAGGGTGCTGGCCTCCGGTGTGTTCCCACTATCAGGAAGCTTGCTGAACCGCAACTTGTAGTGTATGACTCAGGAAGTCTGGAGTAGGTCCAGGAGCTCGCACTTGTGATGGGCACCAGGGGAGGCTGACACTGCTGGACCAGTGTCACCGCCGGGCAGATTCTAGCGTAGACTCCAACACTGTGCCCCTCTGAACGTGAGTAATGCTTGCGTCAGACTTAAAGGGTGAGGATGATGGGTTTGCTCTCACGTCTAAAACCCTAAATCAGTCTTTTTGTGTGCGTATAAGCATGTAGAGGCCAGAGATCAACTGGGGTGTCTGTCCTTTGGTGCAAGCACCTTGCTTTTTGAAACCGGGAATCTGGGGCTTGTGGATTGGGCTAGGCTAGCTGGACAGTCAGAGAACCCCAGGGGTCTGCTTGTCTCTGGTCCTGGGATGATGAGTAGGCTCTCCTATACCCAGCTTTTACACGGGTGCTTATGCTTGGTTGTCAAGCACATCACCAACTGAGACATCACTCCCATGAGGTCTTCTTCTATGAAAACTGTCTCCCAACTGTGAACACGGAAGTAGAATAATTTTCATAGTTGTATTATTGCTGAAGTAAAATTACAACCAGCTCCCCTGCCACCAAATAGTACCCAGCTGTGGAACACAGCCCATTTAAGAAACTTTCTTCTAATACGCAGATGCTTCTTAACTTCATATTCTGGACCCTGAGAGGCTGTGAGGAATCATTCCACAAGGAGGTTCTGGCGGCTTGAGGCTCCACACGGGGTGCCTCACAGCAGGCTCTTACCGTTGGCTTCTGCTCCTCGTGGGTGGAGTAGGTTGGCAGGCCGCTCTGCTGGCAGTGGGAGGTGGGAGCAGGATGGCATGGGGTGGGGTGGGAGGCTTCAGGGCTTGCCTGAGCTTTCCTGTCATTCTAGTCCGTTGGTCAGAACCTAAATTGAGTGCCAGCTAAATAAAGGGTTATTTTCAGAGGTGAGAGTGACGGGGACAGTGTACTGCTTGCCTTGGCTCACAATTCTTTATTCTTTGGGTCATTTTGCTGAGGGATGGTAGGTTCCTGTGGAACCATGGGGGTTGAAATCAATAAGCAAGCAAAGCCACTGACTGAGGATATGAGTTAGAGAGGGGCCTGCTGTCTAACTAGAGGAAGTAGAGAAGCAGGGTCTTCCATGCTTCTGACTCTGCGAACCCGAAGCAAGGCAGCGGGCTCTTTCCAGTCACCTGCTGTCCTCTCTGTGGGCGGGACTCACTGCCTGGTGGCTGTGTTCTGTCCCCACGCTGTTTCCTGTCTGAGACAGGGCTCTGAGGAGTAGGGACAGCTGGCAAACTGGCCTGTGGCTGAGAAGAGCTTTTTACCATATTGCTCACAGGCTGCATCAACTCCTCTCATCACCCTCCATGTTCCCAGTGACCAGTGGCCTTGCCCCATGTGTCAAAATCTAGAGGCCCAACTAGGGACATCTCCCCTCTTCTGCACTGCAGACTTCCTGGGCTTCTGTGGGAGTCACATGACTCTGGAAGACCCAGCTGCTATCCAGTCTTCCTTAATGGGATTCCTGGGGGTTAGAAGAGTGGGCTGTGGGGATCACAGGAATGTGTCGGTGGTACACCTCAGCAAGTATCATCGGCTGTTCTCTAGGTACCGACCACACCAGGTGTGGTGTGTCCCATCCCACCCTGGGTCACACCCCAGTCCGTAGCCTTTGACAGCTTGGGTACTGTGTGACATTTGAATGAGTGCTTAGATTATCCGTGGCGAACCGCAGTGAGATGTCTGTGGCTGTGGAAGATGGTGGTCGTCTTCTGCATGCATGGAGAGGAGTCTCAGGAGTCTTGACTCTTGGTGTAGGGAAGGATGAGAGGTTTGCATGGAAAGGAAGGACAGGATGAGGTATGGGAACCCAGGCTCAGGTCCCCCAGCCTTCCGGACAGATGGTCAATGGCCTCTTCTCATCACCTCCATCCTTTGAGATGTACAATATGCTTCTTGTTTTAAGGTTACGTGTTTAGGGGAGATGGTCGCAGGACATTTCTAGATGTGTTATAATGTACCCTGAAATTCATGTCCTCACACAGCTTATGAATGTGACCCTGTCTGGAAGGATGACGTGTTGGATTAGGAGGGCCCTAAATTCAATAACTGATGTCCTCAGAATAAGAGAACAGGAGAAGCCATGTTGGGAAGGGATTCAAAGGGTTGGGCGGTGTGGCTGCCAGCAGGGTACTGGTGGGAACTGAAGCTCGGAGGGCCAGAAGGGGTCTCTCCCGAGTTTCACTGCCCCGTCCATATCTTTATTCTAGACTTCTCGCCTCCACAACTGTGAGGGAATGGATTTTTCTGTGAGTCAAGAACAGCAGAAATCCTGCTTGGTTTGTGGTGTCCCTAGGAATGCATCCAGCCGGGAAGCCCTTTCTGCAGGCCGCCTGTCAGAAAGCACAGGAGATGTGCTCTAGCGTCTGGTAGGGAAGTGGCCCCAGGCCCCCAGCCTTCCCCTTATCTTCTCAGTGCTGGCTTCCGCTGTGGGGCCATGGCAGCTGCAGGCAAGGCCTCTTCAGGCCAGGAACTCAAGAGGAAGCCTAGCGGTGGCCCATGTTCCAAGTCAGATAGGAATCTTGGCTGTGGCAGAGGCTCTTTTCCTTTGCATTTAGCCTGTGTTCCAGAGATAAGGGGGAGGGAAGGAGAGGGAGCTGGCTCCAGCGCAGAGGAAGCCATGGGAAGCCCCAGAGAAACAGCCTTCCAATGGATGAACCAGGCTTTTGCAAAGGGGGCTGGAGTGAGAAACCCACATTGCCACAATTCTGCTTTTTACCAACCACATGCCCCAAGCAGGACATACCTCCCAGACGCCTCTGTTTCCTCAGCTGAGAGGACACGGGGCAGCTGATACACAGACCAAGTCCTTGGCAAGGTTATGGGAGGCCCTGGTGCAGAGAATTGTGAGAATCCAACCTCATGCGTAATGACAGCTACCAGAGCACACAGTGATGATGTGGTTGTCTTGGTAACAGATGCTGCTGTTTGGGAAATTACTATAGCCAGTGGTCAGGATCATGATATTTAATGCTGAGTCCCTCGGTTGGTTCTCTTCTCTCCGAGGTTGTTGGTAAGATGTCGTCACTGTGACGAGAGCCTGAGAGAAACAAACCTAAAGGAGGAAGAACTCTGGTTCCGGAGGGCTCTGCCACAGTTCCCTTGCCCCACTGCGATGGGCTCGCAGGGACCATTGCGGTGGCATGAACGCGTGCTGGCCGAGGCTACTCCCTGTGTGCTGGCTGGAAGCAGAGAGACGAGGACACCAACAGCTACATCTTTTACGCCCGCAGATGGATCTCCTTCAGCTGGTTCCCACCTCCTAAAACTTCTACTGGCTTCCACTACCTCCCCAGACAGCACTGTCAGTTGGAGACCTAGCTCCCCATGCGTGATCCAGTAGAGGATGCTTCATGTGTGGAGCGTGACAAGAGGGTCAGTCAGGCTGCCCACATGGCCTCACTGAGCCATCACGTTTGTGCCACATGCTTCTCTGACTTGAAGAAGGGACACAAGGCATGTGACCAACTGCGTGACTCACAGTGACCTTGAAGTCCAGATTCAGGAAGGTGCTGAGCGTTTCTTGGACTTGGAGCTCCTGCAAACAACCTCTATCTATAAGACATTTGTCCTATTGAGTAAGCAGGGTCTGTCCTCCACCCAGCTTCCTGGAAACAGACACTTCCAGAATAAAACCCTAAATGGAGAAGGGCTACAGAAGGCAGCACCCGTGGCCATGGTCACACCATTAACTAACTAGCCTATTGTCTTTCCATGTCCCCTTATTCAGGAATGGCCTTGGGACTTCTCAAACACCTGCTTCAGCCCTATAAGAAAACAGTGTCTCTTTGTCTAGCTAGGTGATGTCAGTGGACCTTGGGCCCACTTCCTCGGAGCACACGACTTCTCCCTCCCCACTCTCTCACAAGGGACCTTTGAAGTATAATTCTACTGTCCACGGGTGGATAGGGGAGCTTTTATTTTTGGGCCCGGCTGGTACTGCCTGCCAGTACTGCTCTGACATCAGAACTGAATAAAGACTCAGAAAAAAACAAAACAAAACAAAACAAAAAAACAACTACAGTCCAGCATCCCAGTAGAATACAAACATACAAATTCTCAACAAAATACTTGCAAACGGAATATAGGCACCCTTCGAAATGATCATTCACAATGATTAAGTTGTGTTTATTCCCCAGGTACAGGGATAGTTCGACATATGAGAATCAACAAATGTAGTATAGTTTATATAAGTAGACTTTAAGAAAAAAATCACATGATTCTCTCAATAGATGTAGGAAAGGCCTTTGACAAAGTACAAGATTCCTTCATGATAAAAAGTCCTAGAGATACTAAATTTGAAGGCAACATACTGTAACATAATAAAAGTCATATAAGACACACGTATAATATAATCCCACAGCCAACATTACACTAAACAGAAAAAAACCCAAAGCAATTGTATTAAAATTGGGGAATAAGGTAGGGAAGCCCACACTCTCCGTTCTAATTCAGCTGAGTGATCAGGGTCTTACAGCGGTAAGATAAGTGAGGGAAATAGAAGAAACACCAACAGAACCCTGTTTATAGATGTGATGCTTGGTGGGAGACCCCAAAGACTTGACCAGAAAACAGAACTGGTCAACACTTTCCACCAAGGGGCGGGATCCAAGCTGACATAGCAAAATCAGTCCTCTCACTATACATCGATAACAGATATTGAGAAAGAAAACAGGGAAACAGTCCTGGTTACCATAGCTACAGAAAGAAATAAATACCTGGAGTGAACCCATCCGAGGGGGTAAAGGGCCGCTAACCGGAAACTTGAAAACCCCCAGGAAAGAAGTTGAAGGAGACACTAGGTGATGGAAAGCCTGCCCAGCCCACGGATTGATAGAATATTACTATAAAGCAACCATCCCACCAGAGCAGTGTGCAGAGTCAGGGTAAAGCCTCATTGCCACCATGCTTCCCAGGAAGAGCAAAAACAACCTTACACAGAGGACCTGGGCGGCCTGAACAATCTCAAGCTTCCTGTGACCTCTTGTCTCCCCAGAGCTGAGGCCACACTGCCTGGGTGTCTGGCCCGGGTGTTGAAGAGCGGCACCAGCATCCACCCGGGACACAGCACTAACACTGCCCTCAAATGACCCTGCAGGCCGCTTGAGCTCTGACCTAAGCAACCTACTTAATAATCTTTGGCCCCAGGTAACTTTCTTAACATCTTGCAAGACAAAGAATTTTTGTTTCCCTTTATCTGGCAGATATTTTATCTGCTGCTGGAAAGATTAAAGTCTGGTGTATATGAATACCTGAGAGATTCTGCTCCCGAAAAGTCTGGATGCTCTCTCTCCCGAGAAGGGGATCCATGATCCACATTAGCACCCATGAGCCTGGCCTAGAGCAGCCTTACCCAGTACCTGTGAAGAACATGGCGTGGCCCAAGACTGCACCACACAATGTCATCATCCTCAAAGGGAAACGACCCACTGGTCTTATCTTATCGCCCCGGCCTAATCAGCTCAGAGCCTCTCTGTATTTCCTCATCCCTGACCCAAGGTCCAAGCAGTCAGCTGATGGTGTCATTAGAACCCCAAATGTCATCAAATACCTGGCCCGGCTGGTTTGGGTTGGGCCACCAGAAGCTGTGTCAGTGATTAGCTGTGGATATTCAGCAGCAGCTGGCTTCCGGGCCACCAGATGGGATCAGGATTTCCCTGGGCACGCCTTCTTCCCAGCCTTGCTATTCTGGGTGACACCAGCCCTCTCTGTACCCACATGGGCCTTCCCGTCCCTCCAGCCCCCAGGCAATATGGGAAAGGCTAGGTGCTGGGCCTTCTGGATCTTCTGCCAGGCTACACCTTAGCCCTGCTTATCTATAATGAACTGTCAGTGCGTGAAAGCCAAGAGGCAGCAACCGCAGAACTCCACCCCTGGAAGCAGCAAGAAGAGAGTCTTGGGATTTCACTGTCAAATGGAATAATTATAGGCTAGAGTCTCTTATTTGTTTATTTATTTCTATGGTATTTTTGAGACAAGGTCTTGCTTTATATCCTTGGCTAGCCTGACACTCACTATACAGCCTAGCTTGGCCTTAATTCACGGCCGTGCTCATGGCAAACTTTCAGGAGACTGTTTTCCGGTGATGTCCACCTGACTCTGATCCTGGCTGACGGCTCCTTCCTCCCACTTCTGACCTTTCTGTTGCTTCTGCAGGGTGTGACACTGTAGGTTCCGTACAGCTCAGGGCTCATGTGATCATCTCGGCCTCACCTGGAGAATATCTAACACATTCCTTCCACATCTCCGCCTTGATGTGAAGGGTCTTTGACACGTAAATCAACACAGTCACAGGTCTCAGGGATTAGGATGTGGCTGTATTGGGGGGTACATTTTTTCCCAACTACCACAAAAGGACTAGCAATGTGACAGAAAGTTGGGTGCATATGTCTGTGGTTAGAGTGCAACCCCAGGAAAGTAGTTCTAGATGGGGGAGGTGGGGGAGGGGCAGCATGGGAGCTAAGGGTGGAAAGGAAAGCGCTCAGATGATGATAAATCTATTATCTGTCATCTATCACCTGTCAATCACCTATGCATCTATCATCAATCTACTTTTCACCAATCTATGTACCTAAATTTTGTCATCTTGAGACAGGGTCTCACCATGCAGTCCAGGCTAGTCTAGGACCTGTGACAGTCCGCCCGTCTCATCCTTCAGAGTGTGGGATCACAGTCCTGCGCCGCTCTAGCCTGACCCTGGCTATCTTTCAGATATTCCTCAAAATGCTGAGGATGGCAGTGCATACCTGAAATCCCAGCACCTAGGAGGCTGAGCCAGGGGGATTGCCGAGTGTGATGTCAGCTTTTGCTCCACAGTAAGACAAAGGCAAGCCAATAACCATGGGTGTGTACGACATCTTGTCTGTATTCACCTGTGGATGGACAGTTGCGTTGTTTACACCGTGAGCGATTGTGAGCAGTGAGCACAGGGGTGTAAGTAACTGCCGGAGCCTCTACTTTTTCATCCTTTGTGGGTGGAGCTGCTGGGCTATGAGCTCAGCCCGTGACTAACTTTGCGAGGAACGAGTAGACTGTCTCCCATGTTTGGTGCATCTCTTTGTTTTCCCAAGCATTGCAGGAGTCCTGTTGTCCTCAGAGCTCTAACCAACAGCACTATGTATTTCCTATTTTGTTTGATTATAGCTCTCTAATGAGGGACTAACACTTGGATTGCAGTTTTATTTGAATTTCCCTAGTGATGAATGCTACTGATGGGTCTTTTCATAGTCTTATTGGCTTTCTCTAGGTTTCCCTTGGACATAAATCCACCACCTACTCCTGGACTTCCAATTTCAGCCTCAGTTAGAAGACTGGTGGGTTGAATCATATCCTCTCAATTTCCTTTAAGAATGCTTCTTATTGTAAATATTTATTTTATTTTATGTATACAAGTGTTTTTCCTGCATGTATATCTGTGTACCATGTGCAGGCAAACCTACAGAGGCCAGAAGAGGGTGTTGGATTCCCTGGAACTGGGATTGCAGGTGGCTGTGAGCCACCATGTGGATGCTAGGAGCTGAACTGGAGTCCTGGAAGAGCAGCCAGTGCTCTTAACACTGAACCATCTCTCTGGTCCTAAGAATGCTTTTGTTTGTGCAGTGTGCCTTGAGATTAAAGCCAAGTATTCCTAAAGCTGGCTGGCAGAAGCCATGAGTAAACAGGTATTTCTGCAGTGTGGGTAGGCAGCAGTCTGTCTCAGCTGACTCCTTGTGAATGTGGGAGGGGGGCCTTCAGTTTGTTGTTGCCTCCCAGGTACACCCACGGGACTGGGATTTGCTTAAATCAATGCTCCCTTGCAAATGAAATGAAAGCAAGATTTTTATCAGGCCTAGAAGGCAAATGGCAGAAACTGCTGAAGTCTACTGTTTCGGTTACCAGGCCAGAGCAATCAAGACCGAGACCCAGCTTTTGGCTTTGAGGGGTTGAGATCAGAAAAAATGAGAGATAGAAGAAGAAGGAAAAAAGTTTCCTGAACCAAGAGCACTTCAAGGAGGAAGGTGTGGTCTATGCCCAGGGCTACAGAGAGTATGCATTTGTTACAAATGCAGGTGAGGCACAGGCCTGGTCAGCCTGTGTGTGGGACTGTAGAAGGCAGGATGCTTGTCAAAGCACAGGCCATTCTTTGAAGATAATCAGAAAAATGACAGCAACCATATCTTATCCTAGTCAGTGAGTCCTGAGACCTTGAAATTCTTGAGACATCCTATTTCTACATATAGTACACATACACACACATGCGAAAACACACGTGTGTGTGTGTACATGTGTGTGTGTGTGTGTGTGTGTGTGAAAGAGAGAGGGGGAGAGGGGGGGAGTCAATATGCATGCAGAGAACAAATACATGTTACCTGTTCCACCTTAACTCACAGAGTTAGTAAAATCAGTGAAAAGATTAAATGAGAAGCTCCATAGTCTGCCTACCCAGCCCTGTGGAGTTTCTCTGAGATTTGCTGACTTCCGTGCGGTTTGGAAACAAGTAGAGCCAGGAACATAGGGAGTGGCAGAGAGAAGGATGTGTGCAAAGGCCTCAGACGCCTCGGGTACACAGGAATATGCTGCTTCATTTGTTCACAATCAGAAGAGGAAGGAAATGTAGACCACATTGTATCTCAGAGCTCGGGATTTCAAGGAAGAAGTATCCAATGACTAAGGCTTTTTTAAGCTCATTTTCATATGCATTTGAACACATAGCATCAGTCCTAGGCCCTGACTCATTGATAGGTTCATCATCTATCCATCCATTCATCATCCATCCACTCATCTACCCATTCACCCATCCATCCATCCATCCATCCATCCATCCATCCATCCATCCATCCACCCATCATATATCCATCATCCATCTATCAAGCCATCCATTCATTTGTCATCATCTATCCATCATTCATCTATCCATCACCCACCTCTCCATCCATCCATCCATCCATCTATCCATCCATTTATCCCTTAAAACTATTGATGAAAGACTAGGTAGATGGTTTAATCAATAAAATATTTACCATGCATGCATTTAGATCTGAATTGGATTCCCAGAACCCAGCTGATAAAAACAGGGTATGGTAGTGCATGCTTGTAATTCCAGAGACATGGGGATAGAAACAGGCAGATACCTGGAGCTTGCTGGCCATCCTGCCAAGCCTAGTCATCTCCAAAGAACCAAAATGCTTCCCTCTGAATCTAAAGACCAAAATCAAAGTCCACAATAAAACAACAAAGTAGATTACATCTTGAGGAATGACAGCTGAGCCTAATCTCTGGCATCCACACACACACACACACACACACACACACACACACACACACTAAAAATATAAGTGTTTTGATGTCTGTGATTGGGTAATTCATCACAGTCCATCAACAGATCTGGCATTTTCTCATAGAATACTCACCCCTGTGGAATATGGTTGTACTGTTTAATTGTTTTAACATCCCAGGATAAATCCTTTGGATATCATTTAACTTAAAATAATATCCCAAAAATGTTTATTTATATGAAAACACACTGCAGATACAGTTGGGTCCCCGGCCCTGAGGAGTTGACCCAGCCTGAGGTCATTACAAATGCAGGGCAAGTGGGTTCAGAGGCAGCTTGGAGCCCATTGTTTCCTTTCCTTGTTATCTGAGTGCCCCAGACCCAGTTTTGGCTTCTTCCTCCTTTTGTTTGGCAGGCTCCACAGCTATATCAGTCTCTGGAATGAATTTCCTCTTGTCTCGAGGGCTGCTTGTTGCAACCAAGGACACCCCAGAAACACGATGTTTTCCGTCTGCAAAGTCATTCAGATTTTTTTTTTCAGAACTTTAATCTTTATTGACACGTAACACTTGTGTGTGTTCACGGACTCAGCATGCTATTCAAATGCATGTGTACAGGTCCAGTGAGATGGTCCCACAAGCCTGATGACCTGAGTTTGATCCCTGGGACCCGTGTGGTGGAAGGAAGGATCTGATCACTGTGAATTGTCCTCTGACCTCCACTTGTGCACCAGTGTGCGTGTCCCCTCTCCTCCGCTCCTGTCACAAATACACACATAAAAATGTAGTGTTTGCATGGAGTTGGGAGGGCCTGCATGTCTATCATCTCTGATACCCGTCGTTTCTTTGTATTGGGAATATCCAGAGTCTTCTCTACTGAGGACTGAAATACATATTTAATTGCTGGTAGTCGTAGCTCTCCTCCTGTGCCACAGAACATCTGAAGTGAAGCCTCACGCAGCTGCACCCTTCCCTTCCCTACCCTCATACCCTAAGTTAGAATCCCAGATGCTTGTTCTCTGTGTCTGGCTTGCCTAGTTTAGCGCAATGTACTCCAGGCTGCAACCCGCAGGGTTCCTCCCCTTTTCAAGGCTGGATGGTGCTCACTGTGTGCATCACATTTTCTTCAGCCACTCGTTTGCTTGTAGTGGCTCGAGGAGCCCACATCTGACTGCTATGAGCAGTGCC